AGGTAGGCACTGTTCTTCCTGTTAACACTTCTGTCCTCTCCACCACTCTGAGGGAACTCTTCAATGCTCATCTTGTGGTCCTAGGGCCACCTCATGGCCTGGCACAGAGCGGGTGCAAAGGAAATGCAGTTGGGATGAATGATGTAATGAATAAGTGGATAAATGTTCAGGCAGTGGGGACAGAAGCACTTGCTAGTCACTCACAACACATCGGTTGAAACATTGTCAAGATAGGAACACTCCTCTCCTCAAGGAGCTTCTGCTCTTGAAAGGGAGATAGACATGATGCAGGTCAGAGCGAGGGGGCCTTGGGAAGTCTGATTGTGGAGAAAGCCGCTGTCTGAGAAAACTTCATGGGAAGGGCTGGCTACGTTTCACTCCGTGTGGTCCAGACACGTCACACATCCCTGTTTGAATCTCAAGTTAGACCTGAATTTAAGACCATTGCTGTCACTTTCCTTGCGGGATGTTGCGCAAATTACTTAATCTCCCCAACCCTTAGTTTTGGCAAGTGCAGAATGAGACTCAAACACTCTGTAGGATCAGGGACTGCTGGGTACAGGGTGGGCTCCCAGCGCTCGTTCGTTTTCCCTCCCACCCACAGTCTCAGCAAAGGTTTGGCCTCAATTCAACTTTCTCCACCCACCTGGCAGAAATGATCCCTCCCTCCCACGGGTCACCGAGGCTCCCTCTGTGTAGCGCTCTTTTGGTTCTTGTCAATTTCTGCCTTGTCTTGTGACTAGCTGGATGTGAGCCTTGTGACCCAGAGGACTTCAGGTTTCTTAGGCTCAGGGTTCTTAGGTTCCTCTTGCCTTGGGATAAACTGCACACAGCTCCAGGCTGGTCCAAATGCCTGCTCTGAAAATGGTTGTTTAAGGGAGGTTTGTAGTTTTATGACTCTGTGAATGACAATGAGTCCAGGGCCCTATCAAACAAACAGACAAGGATGCAATGTTATTTTGAGGCTATTGACTTAAATAGGTAAACTATCACACACACAGGCTTCTGGATTCTGCTTTCCCATAGTGGCAGGGTCCTTCCTTTGTTCCTTCCTCACTTCCTCCCCACCATGCTTCTGTCCTTCCTTCTTCCTTCCCTCCTTCCTGTCTTTCCCCGTCCTTGACCATCCCTTCCTTTCTTCTTCACCCTCCCAGTTCCCTCTTCATTCCTCCCTCCCTCTTTCCCTCCTTCCTTCCTTTTCTTTCTCCCTCCCTCCTCTCATCTCTCCTTCTTCTCTCCCTCCCCACACCCTATTCTTCCTCACTCTTACCTCCTCTCTGTCTACTTCCAGGAAACCTCGAAGCACTGTGGCCTGAGTCAGTGGGTGAATGGAGGTGCCATTTCCCCAAATTGGGAAGACAGATGGAGGAATAGGGGTGGGACTGCAGAATCAGGGTCCCTCTCATGGACGTGTGACATTTAAGATGGTAGTTAGACACCAGGTAGAGCTGGAGTAAATGAGGTAAGTTAGAAAGAGCACATAGTAGGTGCTCAGTAAATGATGTGACTGTTCAGACTCTCAGCAAGTTGCCCCAGAATAACATAACTCTCAAGGGAGATACAGGGAACGCTGCTGACCCTGGAGGGCTTGGCTTGATGTCTCAGCTCTGTTGCCTTCACTTTCCTGAGTCCCGGTTTCCTCACCAGTAAAATAAGAATTCCGGGAGATGTCGAGTGAACGCAGTTTGCCAAGTTTTGATAAAACGCAGTTTATCAAAGAAGCAGGAGGGTAATTATCCCAAAGGCTTTCAGGAGGCCATGGGGCCAAGGAAAGTGCCTTCAGCCCCCGCAGGAACTGAGGTTTTCTCTGGAATCATAGCCAGCAAGACAGGTTTGACTTAGCTCTGCCCTGGCTTCTGTGACAGTCTTCGAGGTCTGGGGCTCTGAGAGGGAGAGCCCGTCTGCGGAGGTCTGGGCACTGAGGTTTTCCAGAGATTGTTTTTGCGTCTTGATGTGGGCTGTGAGGCATTTCTCTGAGCAGGAAACAGTCTTCTCCACCTACTGGGGGAAAGTGAAGACTTTCTTTGGAACAAAAATATTGACCTATTTTTAAAAAAAATCAGTAGAAATGATGGATTTTTCATCTAGACCGTGTATTTGCTAAGTACAGAGACTGATTTCTTCTGGAAGGAGTGGCAGCAGCTGGGGCACCTCGCACCAGCCCAGGGTGTGCGGGGACGTGAAAACCCAGTGAATAGCTGTTTCATCCAGTTAATCACCAGGGTCTTGTTTCTCGTCTCTTAAAAGACTACCGCAGTGAAGGCAGGTTTCTTCCGTGTTTCTGGCCTGTCTCAAGCCCAGAGAAGCATTATTAACACAAAGTCATGACAATGACGACAATAAGGCTAATAACCAGGTTTCCTGAGTGCATTCAGAGCGCAGGTACTTTAGAGGCACTGTCCCAGCTGTTGGTCACGGTGATTCTTTCTCTGCACATGGGAATAATCACTCCCAAATCTGCTCCTTTTATGAGATCAGATTTTTACAATGTGCTTTTTCTTTCTTTCTTTTTTGTGCTTCTTATTTCAAATGAGGCATATCCGTGTATACAACACACTGCATCTCTGTCTAGCCTGCCATCCCTGGAAAAGGGCACTGTGCTCTTTGTCCCTAAGGGACTAGAAGTAAGCTGCTTACGTAAGATCAGCCCAGGGGAGGTGGCCGTACAGGTGTAGAGATAAAAAGTTCAGGACACAATTGATGGATTTTGGAAACCATTTCCACGTGTGAGAAAGTGAAGGTTGTGAAAAGAGATGGTTCCAAGGACCTGTGGGAAGAGGGGCGGGGCACTGCAGGGGATGGTGGCAGAGAGCAGGGGAGGGTCGAGAGGGGAGGGATGAAGGCTGCAGGATGTCAAGATGCAACTGTCCCTGCTCTCAGGGAGCCCACAGTCTTGTTGCACAGCCAGGACTCACAGAAATCCCTAGAGGATGATTGACAGGTTTGCAAAACCTGGTGTGCAGTCTGGTGTGGCGGAGGAGGGAGCGGTCAGGGTGGGTCCCCGTGGGATCCCAGCCCACCCTGATAACTTCCCGGCAGATGCAGACAGTTCATGAACACTGGTCTGGGCTTCACTTTGTCTCCCTCCTCACAATGCATGCTCATCTCAGTCTGATATCTTCGCTCTTCTGCAGACACAGCCCCGCCCAGACACGCCTTGTTTCTTTGGGCTTCTGTCCCTGCTGTGGGTAAAGCCAGCCCATATCAGTGTCCCAGAAATTCTTCTTCTTCTTCTTCTTTTTTTTTTAAAACAATGATTTTCTTGAGATATAGCCCGCATACTGTACAATTCACCCATTTAAAGTGTGCGCGAGCCACCAGTTTGTAGAATATTCACAGACAGGTGTAACCATCACCACGGTCAATTTTAGAACATTTTATTGTTGCAAAAAGAAACCCTGTGTCCTTTAGCTGTCATCCCCCTATATCTCTTACCCACCACCCCAGGCCCTCCTAGGCAACCACAATCTACTCTCTGTCTCTAGATTTGCCTGGTCTGGACATTTTTATAAATGGATCTCATCTTGGCAACTGGCTTCTTTCACTTAGCATATGTTTTCAATCTCATGGCTGTCCTGGAGGTGGGCGTTATCACCACCATTTTCCAGACCAGGAAGCTGAAAGGGCTTCAGGGGCAGGTTTGAGCCCTGGTCACTGGAAATATTCAACAGTGGAAATCACTGGAAATATTCGAACAGAGTGAGAAAGAGAAGGAGGACATGCTCCTTGCTTCAGTGCTGTGGGGCGATGCTAACAGGAGATGGAGAAGGCGAAACC